CTCATCGTTTTATTGAAATTAACTTCATATACGTATATCTGAAAGGAATTTTGTGACAGTTTGAAAACCACGCTGTAAGTCGTGGCAACTTTCTCATACTTGTGCTATAGTACTTTGAAATTCATTTTCTAAAATAAGTCCTAACATAAAACATATATGTTTTATTTCTATTAAACAGGTAAATACTTCTAGAGTTTATTTTCTTGGTAGAGTTTATTTTCTGAATGTTATTGTCCAAGGGCTTTTCTTTTCTTTTGTTTTTGTGCTGTTGCAATTTAGAAAAACAGATTAAAACAATTACTACTCTGATGACCGAAATCTGGAGGTCTTGGCTCTGCTGATCTTTTGGGCTTTGAACACAATGCTGAGTTCAAACTAGGACTGTGGCTTTCAGCCCCTGATTGAATCTTCTCTCCAACTATTATTAAAGTATGACACAGAAAAACAACATTACTTTCAAGGGGCTGGGTTTCACTTTATAATGTCTTGTCTTTTTCTCTTCTTCAGCATTTACTGTACAATGAGCATTAGAGATAAGTTTCAATATTCTTGTATTGCTTATAAAAAGTAATTTACTGCCATAAACTGAAATTTGCTGAGCAGAGATTGTATTTTTGTGTGAAGTTCTTCCAGCATAAAAAAAATACAGGGTATGCATTATATTGAATAAGTATCTTTCCTTCTTATCAGAATATCCTGTTTATAAATAATCTATTAAAAAACTGCTGCAAAGGTGCTGTAAAATACAAGACGTACTCCTGAAACCAAGCTTCTGTATTGCTTCTTCATTTGAGATTTACCTTGAGTTTCCCATAGCCTTGTTTATTATCACCCCTTGACATCAAGCTGCTTTGTTCATTTACTCCCTTGTAGCATAAGGTTCCTCCACTATTTATGTGATATCTTCACGTGCTGTTTGCAGGTGACTTAGTTCCTTTGCAGCTCAAGGGAAAAGTTTGCATAGTTTTTCACTGGTTCGTGAGCCTTCATCTTCTTGAGGGGACAGAAAGGCCGAGGTGCTCAGTGTCTACAGGGCTCGGTTTATAATTAGTAAAAGTGACCCAAACTAGAAGAGTGGTTTTGAATGCCTTGTTTCTATGAGGATTTATTCTAATATTGCAGTAGACCAAGTTCAACACAAGTTTGATATTCATACAAAGACTGAAAAACACTGCTTGGTTTAGAGTCTGAAACTCCTCTCTACTTGTCTGTCTCCTGTCTTGTAAATTCTTATAATGGTCAATAGTATCAAGGATGATTACTTCTGTCCTCCTACTCTGCACGATAGCTAGCTGTTTGCTGTATAGAAGCTGCTAATTTGGGGGAATATGCTTTATTCAGGAGACCAGCAGATCACAGCAGAGATACGTAGCACTTTTGTTAGCATTAAATGTATAGTAAGTGATTTAGTTAATCATGGGGTGGAAGCATAACCCAGCTAATTGATTTGACGTGGTGTTCTCTGACAATGTGTCCTGATCACTGTATCTTTACATCTGCTATGGCAAGGAGTACAAACAAATGCAACATGTAAGCACATTTAAATAAGTAGAATTGTTATTTTAAAATACTGTGGTATTTTCCAAGAGTTTCATGTTATCGAATGCAGGAAAGGGAGTAAAATAGCATTCTGTTTTCCTATGCACTCATTGTAGGTTGATGTTTCCTTCACATGCACTGTCATATGCTTAGAGGTACTATGTGTGTATGAGGCATCCATGCTTGCAGATGAATCTGCTGTATTGAATTTTTCAGTATCCATCCTCATTCTTAAAATGAAAGGATTGAGCAAAATCATGTTTTTATAGCAGGAAAAAATTGCAAAAGTAACCAGGAGCCCTGGAAGAGATCCACACCCTTAGGCTGCAGCATGTAAATTGATGTTAGCTCTAATGGGAGTATTTTCCATTTGATATAGCATGAGCATATTATATTATTCACTCGTTTGCTAGCATCCCTTTAACACTGCACACTCATCATAAGAAGTATTTCTTTTGGAAATTATTTTTGGCAAAACCAGTTAAGACTCCAGAGGAAAATGATAACAGTGTTTGATAAGATATTTTGATTCATCTCTATAAGCAGAATAGAGATTTGGAGTGCTTCCTAAGTGGGAACGATCATTGCAGATCACAGCTCACCCTCCACCACAGCTCTGGCTGGGTGCAGACTGGCAGTGTATTCAGCTGCAGAAACAAGGCGAAAGCTGTTCTGTTTATGTAAGCTGTTGCCTGATCAGAAATCCTTCAGGTCCATCATCCTGAGTCATTACTGTAACCTGATTAGAGGCCCAAATCTACTTTCGTTGAATTTAACTGAGTATTTTGCCATTGATTTTGACAGGAGAGCATCCGTACTCTTCTGCTGGAGGCTGCATGTCATCATAAGATGACACATAAACACCGTTTAACTCCTAGCTAGATGATGTAATAAATTATGAGGGTCATTCCAAAAGGTACTATTCCCAAAATACAATATGCATGAGGGTTAGCTAGTCGGTATTAATTAAATAGCTGCTGCATTCCACCCCAGAAGTGGTTGCTTCTCTGTAGAGAGTGATGCTGCATGTGAAATAGGCCCTTGCAAAATAAAACCCCAGAGCATTTTATACATGTTACTCAGCCACTTATGAGATGAAGTCACTCTCAGGATGATGTATAGCAGCTTTTCTACAACCAAAGCAGCACTATTAAATAGTTTAGGAAATCAAGCAATGAATGGCATGCTCCCCTTCTGCTCCCCAACCAAGAGAGTATGGGAGGGAAGTATTTCCAGGACACGTTCTATTAAGAAGAATGCACTTACTCAGTTTGGCATTTGATCAACAGAAAGCTTGGACCTATATATTTTAATAAGTTGCCATGGTTTCTCTAAATTGATGATGTTATTATTATTACTGTTTCCTGAATTTCACATACTATTCAAAAATTGGCACCTCCAGTCTCCTCTCATTATACTGAGACATTTTATCATTGTTAATGAATGTAGCGTAGGTGCTATTCTTAGACAACCTTAGGAAACAACAAGAGTTTTGAGCCAAGGATGGCTTGGACCAGTCCTCCTTCCTTTGCTGAATCTGATGAGACCATATTGCAAAGCCTCTACAGTGTGTTTGAGAAATAAATGAGTTTTTATTGTATTGATTTTATTACTTTATTAATTTTAACAGATAGACTAGTTCCACAGTATGTTGGAAGTGTTAGAGAATATATGAAGAAATTGGTCTATAACAGATGATATTCTAATTCGTTATGAAGCAAGTATTGAATAATTAATAGTTACTTCAAGTGCCCACAATACATTATAATCATGGTTGGATTCAATTACAAGAGACATAAAGGGGATTATTGTACTTTTTCTTCCCCTGATGGTATAATGAAGTGGAGGCAGTTGGGATCCATAAATATTGGAGAACAGTCAAGTTGCTACATATATAACAGGAACTGCTTTTTCCAGCTGTCTGAATGTGTAGTATCTTCCTTCTGCTTGAGCAATGACTGTATCTAGAAACTGGTGAGAATACAGCTTGGTTAACATGGTGTGATTGCTTCTGATCCAGTAGAAACAAAGACAGTTTCTCTTGGCAGCATATTTGAGTGCCATGTTCCAGCCTTAACCAGATATTTCGTGGTGGTACGACACGTACCTTTCATCGTGACACTGTGCAGCTGCTTTGCAGACTTCAGGGTGCAAGTCCCAAAAGCAGTTGGGAAGTCGGTGACTTGTGAGGGGAGTGTTTTGCGCCTTCTGGCAGTGACCAGAAGGCCTAAGAGGAGGAAGAGGAGACCCAAGGAGCTGGAGAGTTCACTTAACTCTTTGATTCCCAGCAGGATCGTGTCCTAAAACTCCCATGCCAGCTGCCACAGAGAAATGTGTTCTCCTGAGAAGAGGAATCCTGGTTCACCTGGGTAAGACTGTGCCCCCAGGATTAGTACATTCAGGTGTTTGGTGGTCAGGCAACAGGGCTGGATGCAGTGACAACAACTAGCTTGACATCAGTAAAACAAGACTGAAAATGAATGTTTCTGTGGCCAAAAAAACAAGGAATAATATGGACAATATGACTGGCCTTTCAGAATAGCTCATGGTTTATCGTTGCTCAGTCAGTTGTACCTATCGAATCTCACACCACTGCAAATCAAGAGATCGAGAGTCATAGGAGAGCAAGTTCCGAGCAGAAGTCGATGATACTTCGTCACTGCAGGCAAGCAAGACTGGAGAAAGTACAGTGTGGTTTTCTATGTAAGTGCTACAGGTGAGGTTGGCAAAAACAAGGTGGAAGAGTTGTGAATGTGTAGGTGGTTATAGATTGTGGATGGTACACACTTAGTGTATTAAGAATTGATTTTATTTTTCTATTTTTCTTTTTTTTTTTTTTAACAAAGTCATTCCACATTCAGCATTCATTAGTTCATCTCATGGGGAGAGGAGTCCTTCCTTTGCTTTTAGTCCTTCTCGTCATCCGCATTTTTGTAGTTAGCAGTCACTCTTGCAATCACATAATTAATTTCTTTTTCTTTTTGCTGCTCCTTTTCTACCAGATCCCATTGACCATAAATTGATGATTTTGCCCAGCAGCCACTTTGTACATGTGTTTTAAAACCCTCAAAGAAGGAACACTTGCAGCAAAATGAGCGTTTTGGTTAAACCTTTGAAATACAATGTAGCTATTCTTCTCTGGGATGAACAACATTGCTTTCAGCATCAGGAAAATAATGAACGGAAAACCAAATGTGCTCTGAAGAAGTTGAAGTTTTTTTAAAGGGCTACTGCCCAAGTATGTCATCCAGCAGAAGAAAGTTGGTAGCTGCATTGTTTTTTGTAAGACAGCTACCCAGACGGTGATGTGATACCTTTTATTGGGCTAACCAAATTTAAAATTAGAACTGAGCACATAAATTCCAATGAGTAACAGAGTTAGTACATTTAACCTTTCTTGCTTCTCATTAAGATCGACTTTTTCAAACCTGGCCACTGATTTTTGTCCTCCAGGTTACAGCATGCCGGGAGAGGACCTGATTGCTAAGCCTGGTGAGCTTCCTACCTTCAGCTTGACAACGTTGATTGCACAAAAACTAATAGGCACAAAAATACAGTCTGGTCCTACTTGTTCAGAATTATTGCACTGGCCAGAAAAACAATTTCTACAAATGCTCTTCCCCCTCTCTGTCATTGGAGATATCCAGTACACAAATCTGAACCCGGAGTGTTTAGCCGAGTTAGGCTTCTTAGGTCTCAAACCAGTGGGCATGTCCATCCCTCTGTGACTAAGCTAGGAAGTGAGTTCAGGTGTTCACCTGTATGTTTATTTATTTGGGTTGCTATAGTAGAGCTGGGGAAGGCTTTGTGATAACATTTATGGAAAGCCGCATGCACTGTGATATTTTTTGTATAGTGAGTTGTTACTAAATAACTTCCATGTTGACTTCTGATTTGAAACTCATTCCTCTCTCTCTGGTCATTCTCCTCGCTACTGTACATTTTTATTCACTAAGTTTAAAGACAAATCATTCCTTCTCTGTATCACTTTTACCACTGTTGATAGCTACCTCTCCTTCAAAAGCAGGCGTGCAGTACTGCAAATGAAGTGAGCGGCACAGCAGAGGTAAGCAGGTCAAACCGTGTGTAAATAGCCAAGTTGTATAACTCTCACTGATACAGCATCCAGCGGGTGTGGCGGAGCAGTTTCCAAAATGGTAATCTTACTCACCAGAGCAACCAGAGGACATTTTTGTTCAGAAAAAAACCAGCCAGAGGGTATAAGCCAAAGGAACACCCTTCTTCTGAATTTCTTGTGCCTACTTCATCGTTACTCGGGGCTAGACTGTTAGTCATGTGGCTTCTGTGGTGAGAAGATTGTGAGTTTGACTCTCAGCTAGGACAGACCAAAACTGGGGTAGTCGGGGCTCTGAAAGTGTGCCTGGGCAGCCCAGAGCCATGCACTAACCTTTTTCCCCTTCTCCCCCTCTCCCCATGCATCCACAGGCTTCTCTGTGCTCCTGAACAGGGCAGAAGTGGGGATGCCCAGTTTTACTTCTCAAGGGTAAACCTCCTGCTCCAGCACACGACTCCTGCAGAGGCTGCATCTGCAGTCAGGCTGTGCCAGCATCCCTCCAGACTCGCCACGGATTCCCCCAGCTCCGTGCCTCCGCCTGGCTCATGTCAGAGGTGTCATCTGGCTCCCCTTTAAATGTTTTCCACCCTTTATAAACTATAGCACAAGGTGGTGCTTAGAAAATACTCATAAACTGGTATTATAGTTCATCGCTTCTCGCTGCAGATTCCCACTTCTCTCTTTGCCTTCACTGTGTGCCCACGGGGATATTTTTGGGTTAATGTACCGCACCATCTCTGCTAGGCTTGGCTCGGTCCCTGTCCTTTCTCTCACTAAGGCCTGCGTTATCAAACTAACAGATAATTTGGATTGTGCTCATTTTTTAAATACCCCAATTAAACTTGAAGCTCATGGCTCAGTCTGGGAACCCAGAAAGTGAGACTCCAGATTTGGAGAATTTGTTTGCGGTTGAATAGAGCTATTGTTTCACTGCTCCCATGCTCATACCTTTGCAATCCGGCTGGATTCTGCTAGCTGTGAAAAAATACTTAGTTTGCATTACATCCCTTCTAGGAGAAAACAAAGTATAGCTTTCAGAGCCATCTTTTCTTCCTTGTTTCTTCTAGTTTGCATCATGTAAATTCAAACTGTCTTGTCTTAATCCTTTTCTGCACTTGGGCCAGCAGCCGAAAGCCTGCGAAAGTATGTGCGTTTTATCCTCTGTGCACTCTGCAGAAACAACTTTACAAACCACAGAGACTATTTTAAAATAAATGGCCATTTTTTGAAATCCTATCATTACAAAGCCGAGGCTTGATTGTTGTCCTCTGAGTGCTTCATAGCAGCAAAATTCCTGCATTTTGGGAATTGTGCTGTCTATTCATCCAGTTGGAGTGGATCCAAAAGCAAAGCGTGGAACCGTTGTGAGCACTGGCTAGTGCTCACAGTGTTACTTTCTCTAATAGATGGCCTGTATTGTCGTTTTGTGGAATGCTCAAATGTCAACTCATCATCATTTGGAGTGTGGGGATGATTTTTTTATTTTTAAATAAAGATGCACAGAAATGATCTTTAAGAAGCCCAGTTGCTTTCATTACTTCTAGCACAACAGAACTGAAAGCAAGCTCCACTGTGGGGTGGTGAAACCCTCAGTTCTGTGATTTATTATTTGAAATTTTTCTTTCTTAATATGAACGTTTATGAAGGTAAACACATGCTTCAAAACAAGTCCATCTAAGAAAGTAATTGTGAAAGTTAAGAAATACCATCCTGGATCATCTGTTAGGGAAAGGTTGGGGTCTCCATCCTGCAGGTGGTCCGTGCCGTGCGTGTCCCAAGCAATGCCAGCGGGCAGCCAAGTCACGCAGCTTGCTTGGCATACTCTGTAAGTACAGGGGCAGTCTCACGCCTTTTCTCTGAAGGTTTTCAGTTGGACTTTTGGGTTTGTTTCTGTCTAGCTTCCATGAAACCACTGGCTCCCAAGGAAAGCCTGGGAGACCCTAGACACTGACAGCTGCTTAGCTGAGTTTGTGGATTACTTTAGGTCAGCACTGGTTTGAATATGAGGGCTAGCTAAACAGGTTGCAACGGGGCGGACTGTCCTTGGCTGCTTCTGGGGACATGATCACATCCCCTCAGGCCAGAGGTGTGGCTGTTTGTGCGGACAGCACGCAGTGCTGCCCCTTTCAGAGGGCTACGGACCCAAATTCCTCCTCCTGGAGGGCCCAGGAGATGCACCCCCTTGGGAAAAGAGACCTGTTCCTTGCATAACCCACCACAGAGTAAACCTGAACACAGGGGCACCCCGATGCTGTAGTCGCCCTGCTTTTGAATGGCGTTATCCTGGGGCTTCCCCTGGGGACCTGCTGCAACAAGTGCTCACAGGAGGGCCTTCTGCCCGTGATGGTGTTATTCTTATTGACCTCATTGGGGCTACTCTGATGTGTGAACGTTTCCCGGGGAAGGGCCTAAACTATGTGGTCTGTGAGCATGGTGAGCAATGTCCAAAGTAATTCCAGCACCGTCATGTTCTTTTTTGTTCAATAATAGCTATCTTATTTGTTATCAGACTTCCATACCGATACAAACTATGCTACAGGCATACAGACTGACTTCAATTTGATCAAAAGATAAGAATATTAAAGTCAATTTGATCAAAACCTAACAATATTAAAACCAGTTAGAATTCTAAGTAACTTGGTAAAGAGGTAGCTCTGTATTGTTTTTCAAACTAGCTTAATTAAAACGCCAAATCCCCGAAGCCACAAATTCTGTTCTGAAAATAGTTTATCACCAACGAGCCTTTTGCAAGACATCGTTTTGTATGTCAGAATACCTGCCAGCCACTTCCTTGAGGCTTCAGAGTCTACATTTAAAGATACCTAAAATAAATAGCGTACACCACATGTAAATACGTATTTAAAATTCTGTGAAGCCTTAAAACTGTTGATTAATTGTTTTCTTTGGTCACAAGTAATTCAGCTGACTCTCTTGGGTTTAACCTGCTAATATATACAAGCCATGTGACTGATACTTTCCCAAAGTAAATACTATTCCCTGTCTCTGTTCACCTCATGCTTCTAAATGATGTATTTAGAGGTATGCTACTGTCAGAGAACTTGGGGATTTGGCAGAACCCCCCTGCAGATCTGTGTAATGACACCAAAAGCCCACCTCTGGCACATTTAGTGATGCTCTCATCTCCCCCTGAAAGAGCCTTAGATAGCTGAGAGGCAGGGAGATGAATTGCACTGCCTTCTGGAAGTACATTTTTTTTTCTCCTGCCCAAGTGGCTGTGTGTTTTCTTTTTGGCGAAGGTCTGAGATTAATCTGACCTGGGTGAATCGGTAGCAAAAGGAGATGGGTTTTTAACAAATTTCTACTTTGTTGCTGGTATACTTGCTTATTTCTGCTTTTTTTTTTTTTGTGTATTCTTGTCTGCTTTTGGGTCTAAGCACATGCAGAATATCCAGGGTTTAACTAGTCAGTCAGTATAACTATGAAATCTTGTAGTATTGCTTCTTTAATACTGGCTATATTACTCATTATGAAACTGCATAATGAGCAGAAGTTTCAACAGATCAGTGCAGGCTTACCCTGATTTGCTCATGTATATTATCTGAACATAGCCTGATGGTTGGAGCTGAAAAAGACTGCTTATGATTGCCAGTTCATTGCTTTTTATATGTGTGGTACTGTCAATCAGTAGGACAGATCAGGTAATAATGCTAATTGAGTGTGCTTGATTTAAATCAGAAGCCACAAAGAAATAATAGGAAGGATTTCTTACCTATACCAGCAGTAATGTTGCATAGCCAATTAAAAAACAAAAACAAAAAAAACCAAAAAACCAAAACCCAAAAAACTAAAAAACAAAACCAAAACAAACAAACAAACAAAAACCCAACACCCCAAACCTAAATACTTGTATTTAGGTTATATTTATATATATAATACTACTTATATATATATAAATACTTACATTTATATAATTCTTATTAAATATAGCTTTATATTTATATTAAATATAAGCTTTGTATCTGGAAAATAACAACAAATAGGAGTTCTTTGTAAAACTGTCTTTTGTTTTGCTTCTAGATAAAACAAGGTATGCTGTACTAATTGCAGGGACGGTAGAAGCGAACGTCCTGTACAGCCAAAGCCAGATGAGCGAAAAGAAAAAGTACATTCCGAGAACCAACCAAGCGAGCATTTCGCTCGTGTGGGGGCAAGACATTAGGGCAGACGGCTGAGATTGCTGCAAGCAGCCCCGCGGTTCAGGTTAATTGTGGAAGCAGCTCCAGCTCATCCCTGCTCCGTGGCTGCCGGCTGCAGGGCTCTGGTCTCCCAACACTGCCACCTGCCAGCAACTGCACCACACAGCAGCTTGCCTTTTTTACCTGCTATTGTCGACAAGCCGTAACTTTTTATTATAGACGACTTAAAATTAACGGCCCTTAGTCTCCTCTCACTCATTTGAGTGTGAATGAGGGCAGCCACGTGAAGGAGAGGAGGCTCCGACTTGGCGTATTTCATTCCTCAAACCTCGCCTCTGAGTTTTTAAGCTTTTAGTTGCTATTCAAAAAAAGAGAAATTCTGCTGTGAAACAAGGCCAGCAGCAGGAGAAATGAACTCATGGGGTAGAGTCTCAGTAGGTGAAGTGATGATCTTACAGGATGCGTGCCATTGGAAACTTGTCTTTTAGCAAAAATGCGAGCCTTTGCCTTTCTGTGCTTGGTAGAGGCAGCTGCTTTTGAACTGGATCCTGGCTGGAGGGAAAAATCTTCTGTCAAAATAAGCATGTCTTTTTTTTTTTTTTTTTTTTTTGGGGGGGGGGGGGGGCAGAGGGGGGGGACAAACCGGGTGGGATCAAGAATTTCTGTGCATGCAGAGCAGCTGTCTGTAGTACAGAGAGGATCCATCCTCATCTGCAATCATCAATCTTCCATTTTGTAAAACGTTTCTTGAGTACTCCTTGTTTGTTGCATTTAATAGCTAGTATGGCAGCCAGGCAAAATGCAGGTTTTGGTTCGTCTCACAAATTGAAAACAAAGAAATACCTCATGTATGTCACTCTTCATGTGATTTCATTAGCTCTTATCCTTTATCAGACACAGCAGATGTTCAAGGGTAAACCTAACACAAAAACACATAACTCACACAAAATAATTTTTATTATCTCTGGAAGACAAACTATTTACAGCAGCAAAGTAACAAAAAGGAGCACGAGCATATGCCACTTTACTCTTTGCTTGGCCTATGGCCTCTTGAATAGCTTCTGCTGGGAATCCCATAGTTAAGATGGCATCAGCATTTCTGTTATAATTTCCTTTTTTTGTTGTTGTTTTAGCATATTTGATATGGACTACTACAGCAGTCTATTGTCTCCATATTGGAGCGATATTTTCTGCTGCATACAAGTATTTTTCAGTTTGAGGTACTGGTGGCATTTATAGCCAGTTTAGTTTTATGCTCTGGTCGTTTGGTTTGCATTTGTACAAATACAGATGATGAGGATCGTTTTGAAGACTTTTAAAATCAGAAACTCCCTTTTGTAAGGCTAACTTCTTTGAGTTCTTCAAAAATATAATTTAAACAATAGAAGGATGCAAGTTTGACTGTGCCAGGACATTCTATGTTAATAAACTTTTTAAATGTTATCTTGCCACAAATAAATTAAATGCTTTGCATGTTCCAGGGGTTTATGGAAAACTGTCAAAATGATGAGTTGTTTGATAAAATTTATAAACATTTATTAAGTAAGTCTCAATGTAACTTTTAGATACTTTCTTGTACTTTCCTTTTATTTAAGGACTTTGACCATATGCCATTTTTAATCCTGTTACAGTTTTTAAATCTCTTAGTGTGGTCTCCAGACCTCATTTACATCCATTTAGTTTTCTGAATATTTTGCAGTAGGGGAGCTTTGTCAGGAGCACCTCTTTGATATACTCAGGCTGGTCTTGAGGTTTCTTAACATTATCTCCTGGAGGAAAAGTGGCCATGCAAGAAATACTGTTTGTTCACACTGGTAGATCCTCTCAACTTTAAAACATGATTAAGTACAGAAATGAATGAACGTGCGTAAGCATTTGAAAGGCTGCAGCCCAGCTCAGTACAACTGAACTGTGAAGACCTGATCAGCCACCGAAGGAGGAACAGTAGAGGAACTCCCATCTCCTCTCCTGCATGAAAGTGCGATGTCTCCATCATGATTCTATGAGTTACTACGGAGCATCCTAATTGCTGCGTGCTGATGCATCATGATAATAAAATACTTTCCCAAATTACAGGTCTCTCCACAAGAATTTGCAGGGTGGAAGCTTATCAGACCCACGCCTCCAACTACAGCAAATGTGTGTGACCTTCTTTTTGATTGTGTAAGTTATTGGATCGAGAGTTCTTTATTTTAGTAAAATGTTAATAACAATAGAAATGTGTAAACTCAATCTGATATGCGAACCGCCTTCAGTGCCTTGTAAATGCATAGTCATTTAGCAAAACAGAACTGGAAACAGTGAGTTGTGCCAATTTACATAGCTTTCAATAGAGTGTTTATCAGAGACACATTTTCTTTATTTTGAGAAGTCTTATCAATACAAAGAAACTGTGCTAAAATAATGCATAGCGACAAAAAAGTAATAAAAGATGGGACACTCCCAGTGCCAACGTATACATGTTCCTATGTAGCATGTTTATTGCACACTTTCTTGCATGGTAAGGGACCCTTAGGAAGATGTATGCCCAAGACCAGGAAGAGTGAATTTCCCAAACAAAAGAAAATACATGTGAATTCCAGTGATTCAGTGCCTTCCTCTACTTCTGGGAGAATTCTCTAGCCCATGAAGAATGGGCCTTCTAGTGATTTTGACTGGCCAGTAAAATAGATAATCATGAAGAAAGATGTGAATGTGATCACTGTCTTCTTCACTGTTGCTACTGTTAACCATAACGTGTTTTTTTTTTTTAAGGTGGGTGCTGAGTTGAACCGTTATTATGACCAGCTAATGGCTGACATTGTTTTATGGCTGACCGCTGGGAAAGCATCGCTGGAGAAGGAGCTGAATTACATACAAAGTGGTATTTGTGAACAGCTACCACTCCGTCAAGCTGGGTGAGCCCAGGCTGCCCAATAAACAGAACTAATGAACGTATCCTTTCAATAACAACTGATACCATGTAATGCTTATACAAAAGAGGTAAGGATTTTGATGACATGACTTCTGTTTTAACTCCTGGTATACAACAAAGTCTCTGTGCGTATCCGATAGCAGGACACAGTTTTCAGTGTGACCCTCTGATTTTGCTAAAATTACCATAGCTTTGAATGTTGCTTGGAAAAATAAGTACCTCTTCAGACAGGGATGCAAAAGGGAAAAAAAAAACAAACCTTGAAACTGTACTTAATGCAGCATTACAACCAGAAAGGATGCTGACCTCTGATAAGGCAGACTTGGGAGACAGAGTAAGGGAGAGGTAAAAAGCTGAGGCAAACCTTATACCTGTAGCACTGAATGGGTGAAACTAAGGTGGGAGGACTAAGATGGTGTATTTCCCTCCCAGGCTGGGTTTTACTCATGAGAGATTTAAATGAGAGAGTGATCTTCCTCTCTGACATGTCATCATTATCAATATCAGGAAGAAAGAGAGGTTGCTGCTAAAACTGAGTGTCTCCCCTCTTCCCTGATGAGAGGGGAGATAGGGATCCAGGCCATCAGGAGGCTCGGAGACAGCACGGGTCCTCAGCAGGCTCTTTCACTGGGCAGCTAACAGACTGTGAAGCGTGGTGTAGGCGAGGTACGGGGAGGCTTAGAGTCCCATTTCAGCAGGTGTTTCAAGCAATGGAGATGGGTAAATTCCTCACCCCAGCACTGGTACTACTACAGAAGAGGCACGGACCCAGTTTGCTCTCCCTATGGACAATATTTTCATCCTGCAGGTGTTGTTTCAGAGGTAAGCTTTGGGCCTAATCAGTGAGTTGAAGGTGCTTTAGTGATGATCACACTTTTTTTTTTTTCCCCCCACAGGAAAAGTAAAACTGTGTAACAAATCTGTGTGTACTACTCCATAACCACCCTGCCTTAGGTATGATTTCATTACATGTTCTTATTAACTGAATGAGTTACGGCAGGGATTGAGTGTGAAGTTCAGTTGCTGTCACCTCTTGTCTTCATTTTATAGAAGAGATGAAACTTTTGGCATTTTCAGAGTATTTTAGCAAGTTCCCTGCTGTTATTTGGATGCCTGAATTGTTATTTGATGCCCTCATTGTGATTTGTATGTTTCTCACACCGGGTGACGTTAATATTTAATGAATTTTAGACCATCACGAAGAGAAGATTCGATACACAAAATGATATAAGTACTCTCCTGTGGTAGTTGTCACTTGAGAAATTATTAGTGTAGATTTTTTTTTTTCCTATGGCTGTTGCTTTAGAAGGGCTGTGGCTGCACTGGAATTAGAAAAGGGAAACGTAGCCACTGATTACAGATAGAGAAGTAAGAAAAAGCCAGTTTGCCAAAAGATTCAGTACATCTTTCCAATGGAAAAAACATTCGAACATGTGAAAATCTCTTCTGGAGTAGTGTGTAATAATATGTACCTCTACAGGCTCATCTATGTTTAAAATGCAGGGAATTGTGAAGATGACATTTCCCAGAAAAAAATATATCCAGGTTACATGCATTATACTTACGTGCTGAGTTTGTTACGTACTCTACATAATGTGGAGCAAATTTTGTATCCAACTTGTATTTTTATGGAATATAAACCCCTTTTAATGGTGTCTAAATTATCATATTTGCCTATGCAGCTTCAACCTGTACAGACTGAGGTGAGGAGATAAGAAAGAAGTAGGCTTTCTTTTCTCATAGAGAGGGATTTTGCTAGTGATGTCTATAAGTTTACCAGTATCAGTCTTCCATAGTCCCTATCATAGCTGGAATTTTAGCTGTTTTAGGACTTTTGCTTCCTACCCTAAAGGTAGGTGACAAATTGTGTTGGAAATGAGGTGTACATATCTCACTTTTTAGAACAAAGATGTAGGCTTTCAGAGGTCTTGGCTTTTGGGTTTTATTCTTAAAATGAACATGCAGATCTAACTGTCTTGCATCTTACTGGGAAGTGAAGCTTGTTTAAAGTAGTCTTGTATGTACCAGCCTGCCATGCACCTGATTTGCCATTACTGTACGCTTTTTTGAAATAGCAACTCACGCCCACCCTCCAAAGAAAGAAAATAAGAACGTGTATAAAGCTGAAAACATTTTTCAGCTTGTCGTCAGGCTACTTTATTTCAGAGCGCGTTCATTTCCCCAAATGAAACATCACAGTTTGAAGGAAAACGATTTGTAAAACAGGCTGGGGAAGATCTGTCACTGAAGAACCTCCTGCCATCCACCACCAGTGTCATCCCGTCCAGACCATACGTGTGTGTGCAAAAGCTCGGTGCCGGTGATGCCTATAGCTAATATTGCCCGTGTTTATACCTAGGGACAGCAAAGCGTGGACCTGCAAATGGAAAGTGTTAAAGAGGAGCTGCACAGGCTACAGCCCGCCGGGGAGCGATGGACCGAGGGACCCACGCTGCAGGTCAGGCTCGGGGAGGGAGACCCCGGCAGCCGTCACCCTGCTGCCGCCCAGCCCCCGGGGCGGGGAGGGGGGGGGGCCCCAACCC